CCTCACTATGGGCAGTGCCATGCCCTGGGCAGGTGGTCCTGAGTGGTTTAAGAAAGCAGGTTGAGTAAGCCATGAGAACAAGCCAGTAAGCAGCACCTTCCACGGCTTCTGCTTCAATTCCTGCCCTGATTTCTCTAGAAGATGGACTACAAGCTATATGGTGAAATAAAGCTATTCCTCCCCAAGCTGCTTTTGGTCATGGTGTTTATCACAGCAGTAAAAAGCAAACTAAGACACCAGCTCTTAGAGCATCTTGTCTGGTTTCTGTAAAACAGTGGATAAGGAAAGTAGTCAGTCTGGGCATTTGCGGCAGGGATAGCAACTTGTGGAAGCACAGGCCTCACCCCATCCTTAGTGGAGCTTTTCTGCACCTGACACTCATATTAAGGAAACTACCTACTACTGCTACCTGGACAACATGATGTATCCTGAATGACATGCTAGGCCAAACAGCTCATGAGGGTGAATGGTGACGAGTCTGGCTGGGTGGTTAAAGAAGTTACTGTCCTTAGACAGAACAGCAGCCTGGCTCTGAGCCTGTTCCTGCTCATACAGCTCACCCAGGCTCTATTCCTGCAAGGCTAAATTAAATGCAAGCAGGAATCACACCAGAGGAGCTCAGAGGCTTTCCAAAAGACCCAGGGCAACTTTGGAAACACAATAATATTGTGACATTTTGAACAAATTTAACAGGTAGCATGTTACCTGGGAGAGTAAGAGCGCCTGAGAGTCTTGTGGGAGGGAGCGGTGGGAATGGAGTTAGGCTGAGAAAAGGGAGGTGGGGGCTTCGATAGCCCATCGGCACTCCAACCCCACAACCGACTGCAGTGATCAGAAGAGGAAAATCAGAGAGAGAAACATAGAAGCAAAGGGGAGGGGAGGAGGAAGACCCTCCACCAGAGTCCCATCAAATTAGCTGGAGCAAAATTTGATACTTCATACACAGAGAAAATGAACAGGTTCATTTTACACTTTACTCCTCAGTAAGACTGTTTGTATTCTTTTCTTTCCCAACCATAGGCTAAGCTGACTTCTGAAGAGTCAACTAAGATCCCAAGTTTAGTGTACATACCTGTGAGAGGGCACACCTGCCTGCCTGGGCTGGACTTGCATCGGAAGCAAGTCCTTAGGAGAAACTAAGGATGCTCAGGTTACCACCCTAATGGTTATTTCAGAAAGGGCCAGAGGTGGTGTGCTCTCAAGACTTGATTCAAGCAGGACAGAAGCAAGGAGATGCTCCAGGACCACACTATTGTGATTCAGCACTTCAGAGAGATCTGGTGGGAGCTCAGAGGACAGAGTGCCACTGGAGGGTGAGTGAGTACATGGGGGCAGTTAGTCTCAACTGGCCAGCTCAGAGGAGGAAATAGAATAAAGAAATGAAACAGCATTCCTCTGCTTCTATACCATCCAAAGGAAACTAAAGCACACCTGGTATCTATTTATCTATTTGCTCGCCACAGTGTCACTACCTGGCCTGGGTTTGCGGAGGTCCCAGAGAAAGTTCTAACTTCTGCTACAGAGCAGATCCACAGCATCCTGCCTGCTGCAGCACAGTTTGTACATGTGTGTATGTATAGAGATCAGAGGACAACCTCAGGGGGCCTTCTATGTTTTATTTGAGACAAGGGTTCCCTCTAGCCTGGAACTTCACTATGTAGGCTAGCTAAGCTAGCATGTACGTTCTGGGAATCTGTTTGCCTTTATCTCTCAGTACATTATTGCTGGGAATACAACAATGGGCCATTGTGCCTGGCCTTTAAAAAAAAAGGTTCTGAACTCAAGTCCTAATGCTTGCAAGGCACATGGTTTATCAACTGAGCCATCATCAACTTCAGGTCCCTCCAACACGGTTCTCACAGCAGGTATCACTAAGTGTCAGCAGCTCTGAGCAGGGTCACAGAACCCATTTTGTAGGGAAAATACAGCTTGGAGATGAGAGGTCATCACGGTGCAAGGCACAAAGGGAATAGAGGTGCTACTCAGGCCTGACTCTGAGTGTGGGCCCGGGCTTGCTGTGAACCCTTTGCCATATTCTATAGGTGCTACTTCACTCCGACAGGAGAAACACAAGAGCTGTCTGCAGGGTGGCCTTGTCAGGGTACCCAGAGGTGACTATGCAGTTCCATTCTGTTCTAGGACACCCTTATCAGGATCATCTGCCAGACTGGAGCAAGACCCTAGACACTTGGAACTGCAACTCCTTCTCTATCACAAAATCATAATGGGTAAAGTGAGCTAAAATATGAATATCTGTTAAACGATAAAATAGGTCCAAAATCTCTGCTCAAATATGTCATGCATGTTCACTAGTTGGGAATGGCTGGCAGCCATCCCACTCTCATAATGAGATATTTACAAAGTGTTGGCCTGCTGACATCTCCAACACCACTGGGTTGATGAAAAGAACCTCCTCCCTGGACAAATCTAAAGCTACCATCATATCAGAGCTGTTACCACTTTTGAACCATCCCTTGTTATCACCATGATCAAATCATAGAACTTTTGAGCAAAAAACCATTTGTAATCCCTAGTTCAATTTGATGTTCAGAATTAAATAAACAAATATCTGGTCTTATTTTTTTCCTCTTTAGAAAAAAAAAGCTATCACTTTATAGTCAAAATCACGCTTCAAGGGTGCACTCAGAAACATGTCGGAGGGTGTACTGTGACATGTGTGTCACCCTCTGGACATGTGGCAGGCCTCTAAACTCTTCTGCTCAGTCTAAAACTGCATTTCTTTTATAGTTTCCCTAGTAGAAAGCACGCCACCCGCCTGAGTATTTCTTCCAATGACACAATCAAGTGGGCATTTTTCGCCAGGAGACAAAACATCTCTCCTATTGAGCTCAGGCTGGTTCAGGCTGGCCTGTGATCTAAGCACTGAAGGGGGACTTTTATTTATTTTTTTTTTTTAACAGATAGAAACTACATTAACCAAGTAATTCCCTAAAAAAGATTTGGCCACAAGAAAACATGTAGGTCACAGCCAGACCTTTTGATATTGGAAATAAATCTTTTCATTTCTTTCACTTAAGAGTTAAAAAAAATAAGCTATGGTTTTGGTTTTTTTTGTTGTTGTTGTTGTTTTTTTCAAGACAGGGTTGCTCTGTGGCTTTGGAGGCTATCCTGGGACTACCTGTTGTAGACCACGCTGGTCTCGAATACAGAGAGATTCACCTGCCTCTGCCTCCCAAGTGCTGGAATTAAAGGCATGCTCCACCACTGCCCAGCCAAAAAAAGGCATGGTGGAAAAATTTATTATTTTGGAGATCTTCGAAGATTAATTTCCAGCTGGTTCTTTGATGGATTTCATTATCGTATCCACCCGTCTTTTTAAATGTAGGCATTTAATAAACAAAGTAATAAAATACTTAACTTGAGGTATAATATTTTCTTACTACATAATAATGCAATAGCGAAAAGATATATGAACTGCACATTGTGGAAGAACAGACTTCCTAATTAATAGTGCAGAGCATCATATCTAGACTAAGCAACAGTTTACAGAAAATATGCATTTTCCATAAAATTTTCACTGTCTGTACTGGACCCTGGTCACTCAGGATAAAACATATACTTGAGAGATCTTAGTATTCAGTCACACTGGGGGAAGGGCAGATGTATTTTCATCAGTTTCTGGTCACAACTGTCTAATTCTAACACTACACTGAAATCCTAACAACACAGACTGAATCTGGAGATGTAATATCAGACTAGATATTATAGGTCAGGGAGCACATACAAAGCAACATGAAAACAGCAAGATGCTATAACAGCTTATAAAACACAGCTCTCAAACAACAAACAAACAAAATCCACATGCTTTCCCCAAGAGGAAAATAGATTTCCTTTGTTCCATAATATTGGTAGTATAACTGGGGCCTGAAGAGAACTCTAGTGGTAAGAAAGGAATTCATAAAAAGTTACATTTAAAAGCACTGGTGTGCCAAGCTTGGTCTCACATGCCTGTAATCCCAGCATTGGGGGAAGTGAAGGCATGGGATCAGGAGTTCAAGGATATTTTCTGTTATATAGTCAGCTTGGCTAAATGAGACCCTGTCTCAAAAACAAAAATAAATTTGGCCATCTTTCCAGCAGATGGAGACCTTTATCAGGCAAGGGGACATTTGGCATATTCTCATTGCATTTTAAGACCTTGTGATAGTACAAAAGTCTTCTAGACCAAAGACCTCGGCTTCCCATAGATAAAACTTGGCACTTGAGGCCCTTGCTGGTCCAGAAAATGTATGGCTTCATAAAGCCACCACTCTAAGGGACTAGGTAGTCCCAACCTACATGAGGGAGTCATCAAAGTCTCCCTGAAGACTTCTAACAACCCCGAGACAGAGCACTTTCTCCTTTGAAGTCAGACCTCACTGTTGGGCATGGTGGTGTATGACCATGATCTCAGCAACCTGGAGGCTAAGGCAAGATATATACGGAAAGTTCCAAGCCAACCAGGACCACATAGTAGACCCTGTCTCAAAAACAAACACATAAAAAGTTAGGCCCCTGACTTCATAAGGCCATTGTGACGGTCCTAACAGGTAAACATACCAAACCACTGTCTTTTCAGAGCAGCATCTGCTTTAAGGGGACAGGAGCAGGCCTGGAGCAGCTCCCTGACTGGAAAACTATATCAGGCTTGGTGTAGACTCTAAAGGGTGTGTAAGTAACTCAATAAATACCATTAGGGTTCTCTATCTCTTAGAGGACACCTGACAGGCTTCCTCGGGGATTCATGTGACCTCGGTTTTAAAATCTATGAGGTATCATATCAGGCTCAGCGTTTAGAGCTAGCAGAACTACAGAGAACATGCAACACAAGCTGCTCACTGCAGCACAAGAGTTAACCACCAAAGACCACGCAGTTACAAGTAGAGGGAGAGTGGAACATACACCCCCCAATTCCTAGCACTCTGCTAGCAAACTCAGGTCTAAGTCAGGTTGCACAGAAAGCAGGGCATCTTCATTTCTCACTTCTGTGGATAGCTTACCTTGGAGATAGTCCCCCATGGGAACAGTTGGTGGGTGAGGTCAGGGGGCTGGTCCTGCTGCTGGGGTGTCGGGAAGGCGTCCGGCCAATGGTATTGCTTGGAGATCCCTGGAGCAAAGGAGTGCAGGCATCATTGTCCAAAGGCTTTATCAAACATCCAATCCAACCCCACTTCGCCTCCTAAGTCATGTGTAAATGGGTAGGAGCTGTCCACAGTGACCTCAGACCCTACCTCCACAAATTATTAGTTGTATGGATGGATAACTGTTCTGTAGGAATCCCTGGAGCTTATTGACCACTGTCATTTATGGTGGCTAACACTGACTGCAATTCTGACATGATCCAGAATCATGTAGGAGACACTAGACATGTCTGTGAGAGACTTTTAGGACTGCACTGATGAAGGCAGGAAGATCAACCCTGAAGAGTGACAGTATCATCTCACGGTTGGAGTGTCAGGCTGAACAAGAGGAAGACAGTGAGCTGAGCACCAGCCAGCAAGCAGTCACTACTCTCTGCCTCTTAACTAGAGATGCAGTGTGACCAGCTGTCTCACACACCTGCTGCTTTTGCCATCCCTGTCATGATGACTGTGCCACCATGGAGATGTGAATGAAAATAAATCCTCCCTTTCTTCAGTTCCTCTTGTCAGAGCAATGAGAAAAGGAACTAATAGAGCTGTGTTAAAGTGATCCACACAAGTAAACACTTCTCCATTACAGAGTTAAAATATCTACGACAGATTCAACGAAAGAATGAATAATAAATAAAACAACTTAGGAAACATTTAACTGACTCAACAACCTTACCCTAAGAAAAAGGCCACATATGAGGACCAAGTCCATTCACTTCCAGGGCGTATGCGAGGACCAGAAAGGACCCCCAACCTCCAAAGGCTCACAGGCTATTAACAAAGAACAAGGAAGCTGGCTGTCCATCAGCCTTGCCGCTGAGTAAGGATCACTTGGAGGTCATGACCACCACAACCAGGGCACTTACCACATTGGTGTTACTGGAGTTCTTGAGGTGGTTTTGCAGGAGTTTGGTGGCACCATCCTGGAATGTTTTTGGCAAGGCACCAAGTAACATGGTAAATTCAGGAGTGTTCAATTCAAACAGAGAGATGAGCACAATCTGTGCTGCCTAGAAAAAGAAGGCATGGCTAAGTGATGTCTGTACACCACAGAAAGTTCACTAATGTTCTTTCACAAGGAGAGCATTTGTGTATAACAGATCTGGAGGAAATGGTAACATCAGCCACTGGGAGTCCGACATTAATCTGGAACATTCCCTGCTTCTGTTTTAGTGCTCTGGCCTTAACACATTTCTTTTGTTGTCTAGCACTAGGAAGAAAGCTAGTAAATAGAACAATAAAAACATACTAGATGTTTAAGATTGCTCTCATTCTACTGAGAACTGGACAGGCTGGCAGGGTACCCTGATGTACCCTGGGAAGAGGGAGCTTCTAGGTAAACCACTGCTGGGTTTATCTTGGGACACTCCACCCACTGCACTTGACTAAGAAACTACAAATTTTAAATACACATGAAAAATTTCTTCTTTTATGCCTTAGAACCAAGAACACAGACTTTGGGGAAATGAACGGGATACTGATGATAGACAAAAGCACACTCTATTACCTTTAGGGAAGTGTGTTATTAACTGAAGTAACAATGCAGGGACATTTACAGTGATGGTGGCACATGGGAAAGCAATGAGGTAAGGACAAGAGACAAGGAATTTCCCACAAGGAAGTGCTCCTGAGGGAGTTAGCTGTATGCAGTCTGAGTTTAAGACCCAAGGATTCAGGAATTAATGAGGAGGCTGGCTTATAAATGCTAAAGCAGACATAGTGGCACACACCTTTAATCCCAGCAGATCTCTGAGTTTGGGGCAGCCTGGTCTACATTGGGAGTTCCAGGCTAGCCAAGAGTGAAGAGGGAGACTTTGTATTAAACAACAACCAAACAAAAACTAAGCTAAAAGATACTTCTAGTAAATGCCAATTATCATTTCCTGTTATTTTCTAAGAGTCAAGAGAAAGGAAAAGATATTATGCAAACTATTTCTAAAGATACAACAGTTTCTTTATATTCTTTAGAAATAGTTTCTATTTCATTTTAACTAACTGTATGGCATCTTTTCAGAGACTATGCTTTTTAGGATTGCAGTCAAGTATTTGGGATATTTTTCCTTGATATAGGCTCAAATAAAAAACTAAGTAGAATATTCTTTGTGGGACCAAAAATTATTTTTCCACTTTCTAGAACTGAAAATCTCCAGGCACCATTTCTTCCCCTGATCCTGAAATCAGTCAGCAGCATTTCCATCCAGACACAGTGGCCAGAGTACTCTTACCACATACGAGGACATGGTTACTGTTGTCCTATGATAAAACACACTTCCTTGGATTTAAGCATCATCCAAAACCATCTGTTTCCCAACAAATGAAGGTACTGTTAAAGTGAATTTGTACTAACAAAACCAACTTCAAAAAATGTGCAAATTAATTTGTACAGTTAAAAACCTTTAACTAGATGTTAGGACAACCTCACACACATGCAGAAAAATCTCATGAGAAGGAGAAAGCAGGCAGGGGACTGGAATTTCAGCAAGAAAACACAAGCATGATGTCACTGCAATAAGAAAGCACAGACACTCAGCTTTTATGTGTAGAAACTGGCACCTGAAAACTGCAAAAATCCATTACTGCACTCTTACTTTTCATTTTTGAAACAGTCTCAAGTTGGTCCTGAACTTGCTATACGGAGCCAATGATGACTGAACTTCTGGCTTTCCTGTCTCCATCTCCCGAGTACCAGGATAACAAGTAATGGCTGTGTACTACTATGCCCATACTATGAGGAGCTGTAGATGGAACCAGGGCCTTGTGCATGCTAGGCAAGTACTCTACTCACTAGCTGAGCTACAGCCCCAGCCCCACTACTAGATTCTGGAATAGTCTAGCTTCATGTGAAATGTGCCTTTGTCTTTAAGAGACTGTATTTCCTTCCAGGATGATGTTACATAGCACCACAAACCTGAGTTTTTCCATGATGCTAATTAAAAAGCAGCATCTTTAAGGACAGGAGGCCTATAGCCCTAGACAATGTGCAAATTCTTGGCTATTTAATATGAGTACACTTATTTGAGGAAAGAAAGTGCACAATAAATTCTAACTCACTAGTCTTTCTTCAAATAATCTCAATGCTAAATTTAATGGATACTATAGATAGATAGATAGATAGATAGATAGATAGATAGATAGATAGATAGATAGATGGTACCTCCCTAAGCCCTGGGTATTTATGATTTTGCCTTTCTCCCCTAGCTATTCTATTAAATATGGCAGTGAACTACATTTGGAACCATTTCACTGGTAAGGTAGTTAAACACAGGCACACACGGTCACACATTATATTAACTGCAATTCTCAGGGGCCTCATAACGGTGACTGGTATGGACAATGTAAGGGCAGACAGGAGGGTGTGCTTGGAATTAGTACACGGGCTCAATCTACCTGTTTACAACTTTCTTCCAAGTTTCCTTCTCCAGGCCCAGAACAGGTAGGAACTGACCTAGTAGGGGCATCCTCCCCTGCTCGACTATGCTGATGCTGACGCTGACGCTGACGCTGGGACTGGTGAGCAGAAGAGGGCAGGGCGCATTAGAAAGCGGGAGAGGTCACTCAGGGCTGTTTGCTGGCTCAGAGAGAGTGAAGCTTCATCAAGGCTCAGGCCCCTGAGCCAGAAGTCAGGGACAGCATACAGGTTTGTTTGCTGGGTTCCTTATTTAACCATAATCCTCCCTAAGGGAAGGAGAATTCCTGCTTCCTGTGATATGAAGGGCAATCAGAGGTCAAAGTGAGACTTGAGAGGGAGTCACAGTCATGGTTAAGTTCAGAGTCAATTCTTAGATTTTTAGATTAGACTATGCAGTTGCTATGTACACACACACACACACACATACACACACACACACACACACACACACACACACACACAGAGAGAGAGAGAGAGACAGAGAGAGAGAGAGAGAGAGAGAGAGAGAGAGAGGCATGCACACATACACACACCCTACACATTTTTATTTTTTATTTTTTTTTTAATACCCTACATACTTTTAAAATTGACATTTATTTGTGTGTGTGGTGGGGGTGTGCCATGTACTACAGCATGAATATGGGGACAAGAAGACAACTTGTAAGAGTCAGTTCTCTACTTTCACACATAAATTCTAAGAACCAAACTCAGGTCATCAGGCTTGGTGGCAAGAGGCTTTGCCCTCTGGGTCACCTTGGTCAAAAGTCATTTAGGAATTTCATGCTTCAGAGATCAATTACATACTTTCCCTGATGCAGCCAATGGCATTTTTATACTTCCCAGGTTTCTTTGCCATGTCTTCATCTCTCACATTTCTCAAAACATTTAGAAGCCAAGGAATTGCCAAGCACTGTGAAAGGTCCCTGATAGTCCACTGACAAGTTATACAACATGAAATAAGCAGACATTCGGCATTTAGAATCCTGAAGTTGGGACAAGCAATTACATACTCTGGCTGGTCATTGGGGTACACACCTGCAACTCCAGCACTGAGAAATTCCAGGCCAGCTTGAGCGTCATGAAACCCTGTCTCAAAACACCCAAGGGCTAGAAGAGCTACACAGTGGTAGAGTGCCTTGCCTAGTATTCCAAGGCCCTGGGCTTGAGCTCTAGCACAACATATGCACACATTCACACACACAAGAAACAAACAAACAAGTACATTTTATGGGGAAAATTCTATTGCCTTTAACTAGATGGCCTTTCATAGATCACATGACTTCTTAAGTGCTGGAAAGAGCCCGGTCTTCAATCTGTTTCCTAAACAGCAGCAGCAGCAGCAGCAAATCCTGAACAACCCTTATACATCAGCAAATGAGGCTCCAGGATCTGTTTCTTACTGTAATCAAGCCTGCCCTAGATGCCCCAGGTAAGTAATACCAGCCCCTTGCAGATAAAAACAAGACCTCGGGAGACTAAATGACTTGCTCAGCTGCATGGGTAGAAGCCAAAATGAGGCCAAACAGCAAACTTGTTTCTATGGTAACATACTCCATAACCTTCCACCAAACAGTGTACTGTGGAAGGTGCAGTGACCTCTAAGTCTGGCACACACACTTCCACAAAGAAAAGATTAATGTTAAAGTAGCCAGTCCAGGAAGGGCCAGGTGTCTCTGGGAGCCTTCACCCGCCAGTCTGGTAGGCAATATCCTTTTAATGCTTTGAGTGTGGTTTTGGTTTTGAGAAATACCTTAAATATACCTTCTCCTTCTATGTGAAACATCCCTAAAAATGGAGCTAAGAAAGGAACAAAAGGAATATTAAAAATATTGGAAATTAATGAATCTGAACGCCAACAGCCTGCATCAGTTTCAAATGCTTCAAAGCAGCCATTGGTATGGCTCAGTTGGTGGAGTGCTTGCCCAGCATGCATGAAGCCCTGGGTTTAATCCCCATAACTACATTAAGCCAGGTGTGAGACCCGGAAGTATATAAACTGGGTGTAGTGTCAAGGGCCTGTAATCTCAGAACTTGGAAGGTAGAAGCTAGTGGATCAGAAGTTCAGGGTCATGGGGATAAATGGGGGGAGTGTTAAGAGTGCACAGTGTTCTGGTAGAGGACCCAACCAAGTTTGTTCCTAGCACCCATGTCATCAGCTCAAAACTATGTAACTCCAACTCTAGGGGATGATGGCTTCTTGTAGACTCCAAGGGTACCTGCACTCACACATGCTAACACCCACATTCAGACACACAAAGATACATAATTTAAAAATAATAAAGGGGCTAGACAGATGGCTCAGTTTATAGAGCACTTGTTCCTCTCGTAGAGGGCCTGAGCTTGGTGCTAACATCCATATAGTGGCTCACAACCTCCAGAACTCCAGTTCCAGGGATCTAATGCTCTCTTCTGACACTGGCAGGCACCAGACACAGACATGGCACACATATACACATATACACATACACACATACATACATACATAATACACACACACACACACACCCATACACATAAAAATTTTAAAGTCTTTTTTAAAAAGTAGTTGAAAGTCTTCCTCAGCCACATAGTGGCACAATGACAAGGACTTTCACAGGCTGGGGAGGCCTGTGAAATGCTGGCCAGGCAAACATGAGCATGTGAGTTCAGATCCCAGCATCCATGTAAAAGCTGTTTGTGGCATGTGCCTGTAACCCCAATACTAACTAAGGCAGGGCACAAATGTGGGTAGAATGGGGGCTCACTCACCAGCCAGTCTAACCAAAACAGTAAGCTGTAAGACACAAACTACATCCCAATTTCTCCAGTACATCAAACAGGGCACTGAAATAAAAGTGACTCTTTGCTCAGGAAGTGGTAAGCTATGGTGACTTAAAGTGAGTCATTTGTGGCTGAGTAGTTTATGGGGCCAAAGACCACATATTGGAATATCATATCTTTTATT